TATCCTCTGCATTAAATCGCACTCAGCGCTCAGCACTCAGCATCCACTCCTAATGTGTGTGAGTTGTCTGTTTGCCATCTCCCCATCCTATTCCAGGTTCCTCCCCTAGGTATCCTCCGTCGTCCCGACAGAACCCGGTCCGCGGCAAGATGCGCTCCGCTCCGCAAGTTACCTGCATCTAGTTTCCCAGCAGGGTTCCCTCCACAGTTGCAGAGTTCAGTGCCTCCTCTGGGGGGTGGCACACGCCGCAGCCATGACAGCAGAACAGTGCACGGCCCAGGAGCGCAGATCCTCCCGTCTCAGGCTAGCTGCAAGCTCCAGGACAGAGAGGGCTGCTGGCCACGGTCACTTGTCGGCCTGGCGTCCAGGGGGTGGCTAAGCATGCTTCTCAGCTCCTGTTTCCCTCAATGACTTTAAAGGGCTACGAAAAAGTGGGCAACCCGGCCCTGCTGAGCTCTTTCCTGACTGTAGCTGTCAACCCCACAGGACGCATAGCCCCTCGCTGTCCTCCATCCTTTCCCCAAGGGCCGGGCTGGATTGTTAACCGACTGCAATCTCAGTGCTACCAATGCTCTCCCCTAGAGAAAGGTCTGGAACTTCTGCAAACAGCCTCAGGAGGGCTCCTAATTCCATGGTGAGGCTGAAGTCTGTTCCCAGCATCCTAAGGCTAAAGCCAAATAAATGATTAGAAGGAAACAATGAAGTTAGATGAAAACAAAACAGACAAAATCCTGCAAATGAAAACAGAAAACCACACCAACCAACCGGATAAACAAGGAAATGAAACAACAGTAACAACCAACAGCTTACACTCGAAACATCTCCTAGATATCCTAACCCCATACCCCCTGTTCTCACACGCATCCTGCCCCCCAGCCCCCTCTCGAAAGCCTCAAAAAACTGGAGGCGGGGGGTGAGCTTTATATTATGAAAATGAACAAAAAAATCACTGCAAATTCTATCTGTCCTTACTGTGAACGTGACCTTCCACCATGAAAGCTGCATTTTTCTGGATCAGTCCCCGGTCCCCGGTGGGAGCATCATCTTTACTGGCTTAACAACAACAAAAAAAGGAGTATGTGAAAATCTTTGAGTAGAGAAAACAAGCACCTGTGGATTCTAAAATGACACACGCAAGTAACGAGCTGAGCGCCACCGACGCTTCACATACTTCCACTGAAGAAGTTTAAAATCATCCATACCCACACGTGTGGCCTACAAGGTAAGAGAATGCAGAGGCAACTTGTAGAAGAGAGGTGCATGCTGTGTGTGTTGGGTTCCAGGGGCCAGCCAGTCAGAATGCGCAACCGAGGGCTGTGTGTGAGACCCGCCCCGAGCGCAAGGCGCACAGGGCCTGCCAGAGCAGACCGCGCCCGCCGCCCGCGACGATGGGAACCCGCGTCGGAGGACATGGCTCCCCACCCCCACTCAACATGCCAAATAATCACTTCTCAGCGCCCGGCCACAGTCCAGGGTGAGTTTATTAATGGAGAACCCCCACCCCCACGCCCCACACGATGCCCAGACACCACAATTCTCTTTTGTCACAGCATACAAAATAAATCAACAATCATACTAAAACATACCCAATACCCCTTAAGTTAGCGGATTTAACATTAAATCTCGAAGCAGTATTGTGTTACACTTTGATCAAATCCTATTTACAAGTTGAATTGCACTTGTTCCTGTGAGGGCAGTGGGGCATTTTCCTTTATTACGGTCTGATATCCACATATATAACTCTTAAAGCTTTCTTGAAGAAGGTTCGCTCCCTTCAGCACGTAACCCACTGAGTTTCTGCGCTGGTTCCTCCCCTGTGCTTTTCTGCTCTACTTTGTTACGCAAATGGCACATGCACACACCGCTGGAGCAGGCAGGACACGGCGCCACGACGGGTGTGTTCATGAAGAGCCGAAGTGGAAGGAATGGAAGGGAAGCAGTCAAGTCCTTTGGTTCATCTCTGCAAACACACATCAGCCAAGCTGACTCGGCATCGCAGATGAATTCACCTTTCTTTTTGGTTAAGGATGGTTGGTCCGGGCGTTGAGTACAGGCGGCTCCCCGGTCCTGGCGGTGGGTACACGCGGCGCGCCGGTCGCAGTGCTCAGCCGGGCCGGGCGCAGCTCGTGTGATGTGACACGGGATACAGTAAGGCACGAGTGGATGGTACAAATAAGACAAACGCTGCGAGACGGATCTGGTTTTCTGCACAAATACTAAAATATGTACCGTCTTCGAGATAAAATTAACAAAAGGAAATACATATTTTTGTTACAAAATACCTATACAAAATTTTAAAATTTACACCATCTGAGCTGCCAAAAAGTTAAAAAAGTGTCAACCCCCAACATCCAACGCCTTAGCAACAGTAGCTCCAAGAGAACTGCGTTCGAACTCTCCTGGCCCTGTGTGGCGGGGACACAGAGCCCCTTCCTGCTCTCCCTCACCCGGGACCAACCCAGAAAGCCGCACGGGCAGTAGTGTATTCTACGCATTACACACAACCGGAATCCAAGCGATGGAAGCCCGGCCGGGAGCACACCATAGGATGGCTGGTTGAGGGGTGAGTAAGGCACTGGGGGGGGGGGGCATTCGAATGGACACGGGGCGGCGGGAGTG